TCCATTAATAAAGTTTTCCTTTAATAATGACAAACTATTAATGACCAACATGTTCCTTTATTGAAACCATTACAGATTACAGGATACATGGATCAGATAACATGCTGTCTGTTTGAACTTGGATATTATTTATGTATGAAAAACTATTATTACATTGTATAGGTGTTAGGTATATTTGGAAATATATTTATGGACAAGACTCAATATCTTTAGGGTATAATGAGCTAACTGCCTTATTCCATGTATTTAGAAAATCGTCAAGTGCCCTTTGATCGGCTTTCGTTATATTGGATAAGGTAGGTTGCTTGGTAATAATCTCTTTTTTTCTCATAGTTTCAGGTTGACCAATTTTATCTGGGATTGATATATGCTCCTTATATCGCATATGATATACCAACTTATGGAAGAAAACATCATATTTCTTGATAATTGGGATAAGTATATTTAGATGTTTTTCAAAATCGGAGTATATAGATTCTTTTATTTCATCACTTACCAAAAGATTATCATTTTCGGTATATGCTTTGGCATACTCTATAAAATTTTTCCATAATCTCTCAACAGTATTAGTCATCTTAAAATCCTCAAAATTAAGCTATTCCCCATGAAATATCTCATAGGTATTGCCTATCTTCTGATATAATATAGATTGCGCGGTTTTGATTGCATTCTTGTAAGCGCGTTTGTAAGCATATCCACGATTAGATATTATTTTAGGAGTGATTTTATTTATTACATTTATCTCCTTAATATATGACTCGAGCCACTTCTTGGCCTTATTTTGAGCATATGTGTCAACCTGTTTATATTTCTCATCTGAATCAGTAATTTTCATGATTTTGTCAGTAAATAGTGGTTCGTATTTTTTATCATACATAATAAATCGAGCGCAAAGTCCATTAATAGTATTTTCGAAGTAATGGGATAAATCCAATTTCCTATTTAATTCTTTTGCAACATCTGCGAATTTCATTTGATCAGCCTTTCTTATTGTAAGCTTAAAACTGGATAAATTGAAAATTTTATCGGGATGGATTATTACATAACTAAAGCGATCCCTAGAATCAGGAATCTTGCTTTCATATTTTTCTCTCATCCACCCTATAAATCGTTGGACACGTTTATTATCTACATTAGGTTTTCATGCATCAGTTTCTATAAACTGGTCAAAATTCCATTGATTAGGATTGGTTATAGCCTCTTTAAGAACCTCTTCAACAATCTCATAAAGTGTTTGATTATTGTTAATATTTATCGCACCCCATATGATTCGATTTCCTATAGTTTTAAAAAGTTGGGATTTACCTTGCTTCACTGTATCAATACCTTTAATAAAAAGTTCTTTTGGCTTGAAGTTTGGAACTTTTTTATGTGGTATTCCGAAATATTTTTTTTACTGGTAAATACTACTGGAAATAAAACTTCTTCATAAGCCATTTTAAGATAGGTCAATCTATTCTTTATTCTAAGATATGTATTCATATCGTTACGTAATTTCTCCATTACTTTCATGGTAATTTTAACCATTTCGGTCCAATATTCCAACTTTGAAATTGTGCCTTTACCATTATTATAAGTGAGTTCGCATTCTTTATAACATTCAGCAGGACAAGTGAGATACAAAGAATCAGTATCTCCATATTTGATTCCAAAACCTTTCTTCTTAGTTACATACTCAATAACAAGTTTAATGTTGTATTGCCCTGCCGATGTGACACCACCAGCCAATTGTAGAAAGAAGAATGGAGATAGACTATTATCTGCTTCTCCATAGAAAGTATTCATATATATTTTTACTGCTTTTTGTTTCGAATCTAAGCAGGTGTGATCAAAGCAGATGGAATCGTATTCTATTTTAAAATTTTCATAGGTTTTATTGATAAGAGGAATCAAGATTTCATTTATATTGGCACGTTTTTCTTTATCTTCAGTATTTCTTAGAATATGATCAATAGCATCAGCCACTAATAAATTCTCCTCTTTTATTTTACTATTTACTAATTTCATATACTCTTTTATATTGCTAAGTATTTTCAATTGAGCCTTCATTTTATTTTGTTTATTAAGGAGCTCTTTTAAAACTGATAGATATAACCCCATTTTATTATTTTTATTTTTATGTCTTATAGACCATGCATGTAAAATTTGACCATTAAAAGGAAACTCAATTTTATAGAGGATTTCTCCTGCCTTTTCTAATGCACTCACCTCTTCTGCTAGTAGAGTCATTGTTTCTGGCGAGAGATTATAATTTATAATAATACTTGGATATAATGATACAAAATCTAAACCTGTAACAGGACATTTGTTTTCTAGACCCTTATCTGAGGGGAATACATAGGCTCCAGGAAATGATCCTTTTTCTGTCTATTCGAAAGAAATCATAGTGATCAATATATCTCTTTTCCACGCTTCAGCACCTAATAGATTACATACATTCATACCCCCTGCATAGTAATGTGAATCAAATAAAGAAACATATGCAATTGAGGCCACCTCTCTATAATTATTTATTACGTTTCTCTTAACCATAAGGCTTTGACAACTAAGAGAATCAACAATACAATACTTAGCAATTTTACGTATATTTTCAACAGTCTCGGGTGTGGTTTTCTCCTTGCTTTGTGTATAATATTCTCTCATAACTTTTATGGATAAATCTATTTTACTATCAGGACCATGCATTTTTAAGAAATAGTTAAGCGATTTTTTCTCAGATTTTGGATAAAGTTTTTTAAAGCATACTACAA